TAGCATCCTCCTTGGTGGGGTTGCTTCACACATCTTTTTTCACTTCTATGAAGTTACATTCACTGAAGATCCTTCACAGAAGATGTTTGAGGTTCCCCAGTAAGAAGCTTTTCCTCCATCTACATCATAACAGCTTCCTCAAATCAAAAGAGTGATTTATAGGAGATGCTCAAAAAAAGTACATAAAAGATGGGTCCAACAGCTCCATCTCAGTTACATTCCTTGAATTTCTAAAATGTTTGCCAAAACATTAGTTACTAAACACTCCACAGTGAGAAGACTGGTGTATAGGATAAGTCCATTGAGAAGTTTAGCTCTGAGTGTTTGGAGAAGAAAGAAGCAAAGATCAGGAACCATATTTGGTTCTCATTGTCAATGGCTGCCTCTTTGAATAAATGTAACCAATAGTCTTTTCTATCTGATTTATGTATTTTACTGTGGTTACAAAGATTTCATTTTTCTTGTGAAGGAACCAGGGTAGTTATTATTATTAGATTAGATTTGTATCAACCCCATGCAGTGCAAATGGCCTTCTCTAAAACAAACACTGTCATTTACGCTGTTACACTACGTTACAGTACGTTAAACTTTCATGAGGTACAAAGAAAATGTCTTTAGGGTATTCATGAATGTATCCTTCCACTGATGACTTTATGATTGTATATATAAATTGTGAGATAAAACAAATAAGTTTTTGTTCATATAAGCATTACTTGTTAAAGCTTCTGATACCTTTCTTCTATATGGATTTCTGGACAGTGTACATGATTGTGGTAAAAATGGCATATAATATATGATGAAATAATGACCAAATGAATTGAGACCATCCATTCTAACAGACAGATCATTTTATGCAACAGAAGTCATTCATGTGGCATTTAAAATGTAACCAACTCAAGGTCAGAGCCTCATGTTTGAAAAGTTATTTTACTCTATGACAGCAACAGTTCTATATGATACAACCTCACCTCTATACCCTGTAAAATGCAGTAGACAATTCATCCACAACTTCCTAACACACTGAGATAAGAAAACCTTCATAGGTTGCATTAAGGATAAGATGCAAAGAGCTAAGTCCTTAAATTTGAAACACTTGCTTGTTATATTGCAGCAAGTGTTCTTTAGCAGGTTAGTATTGATGGTAATCAGTAAATTTACAGTTTTGTTAAATCTGAATCATTTACAGGTAGAAAAT